AGGCCTTTGATCGTTTACGACAATTCGTCAAATCGCGCGTTACAAGTGACAAAAGCGGAGGGAACGCGATCGATCTCGGCGGAACTCCGTGGAGATGGTGGACTCCCGTTTTCCCGGATTCAGTATCGGCCGCCGCGCGCGGCTCCCGGTTACCGTTGCAGATGTGATTGGATCGCGTCTTTTTCAGCAACGAAAGGGTTAAGGGCATGCTTACGCTACAGGAATATTTCTTTATGTAGGTCGCGGTGAGATAGCGATATATTATTATCACATTGCATAAGACCCGGCGCTCTATAATTACGGGTATAAACTTATAACAGTATTCGCTGAATGAGGAGGCGTTAAGCCGTCATCGTACCGTGATCGAACTGTTACACTGTTATGCTCCTCGCTCCCTTAGCGGGAAAATCGATGCGTCGCTCGATCGCACGCTACTAATTCTGCATTCCGATTTTACGCGTACATTTTCCCGGAGAGTGAGCGAGTTCTCACGAGCACGCAATTAAATCCGTCTCGATTACGTCAGGAGCCAATACAGATTATGTCATCGCAACTTTCACCTTTGATATAGATCACTCGGATCCGTGCAAGAGCGCGCGTGGAAAAGCGCGAATTATAAATTAAAAATTGCTATCGATATCCCTCGGCCCGTCGAATGTATCCTTTAAGAAGTGAAGAAACTGGACACTGGCGTATATATATTTTTTTAAATTATAAATAGTGAATTATCGACTCTCGCGTTTTCGGATTAAAAGATAGAAGTGTAACGGGAAAACCGGGCGTTTAAAGGTTCCGCTGTCTAAGAATCTCACAGAGACTTCACCTGCGTGTACGATGCTCATCGATTACCTCTCATTCTTCAATTCACATTATCGATCTTTGGATACTTCCTTTCTGAATTGTTGATAAACCAAGAGACGACACTCTCGTGCAATACAGCTCTTCAATACTGGACAATTCGTCAGCTATTGGCGCTTTAATAGATGAAATCTGCCAATCTGTCTTTACAAGTATTTATAGTTTTCCAATCGGACGAAGCTCGACAAAGAGAGGGGGAAGGGGGAAGGGGGGGAGAGAGAGAGAGACAAAGGGAGCCCGCGCGAGAGGAGTTTATATTGGCGAATAAACCGCAGCCGCGGCAGCTCGCGAAAGCTCCGATGAGGGGAAATGCAGCGCGCGGCTCGCATAATGTAACACACAAGTACGGAGAGAGCGAATCGATCTGTACGTACGCTCGCGCTCGCGCGAATGCAACCGGTTTCCCAGGTTCATTATACCGCGGAGCCGCGCATCTCCTTTCCTGACAAGTGTGCGCCGTGTTGCGCGACCACACCGACGACGGTAGTCCCGCCGCGAAGTTACTTACGCCCGGACTTCATCCCTTTCACGTAAACGCTCGCCGGTGCCTCTCTTCCCCCCCCCCCCCCGCCGCCCTCGTCCCGCCGCTCCGCCGAGAGGTCCACCTCGATCAGGAAACGCGCAGTCGTTGCGCCGATCGTGGAAATAAGTCATCGAACCGCCACGGTTCACGATCGGCCGCCCCGATACCAAGCGCGCGCTGCTTACCATCCTGGGAACGCGGGATAACGTGTGTCTAAGATGGCAATGGTTCCCTCCTTTCCTTTTCCTCCTTCGCGCCGAGATGCCGTAATCGTTTCGTCGAAGGTGCGAGTCTCGAATTCTGAGCCAATGATAGTCGCTGAAAGTTTCGGGGTACTTTTGTCGTTTCGCGTTTAGAGATTCGGATCATTCCCCCCCCCCCCCGAGGTTCATTCGCAACACGCCGTTTCAGTTGATCGTCCCCGTAGGAGAGAGTACTTATCGAAACGGAGAATAATTTTGAGGGGGTATAGGGTGAGACAAGAATTGAAACAGCGGGGCCCGCGACTGCGCCTCAATTTTTAAAGAACGTCGCGCGGAACATCGAAGGTCGCCGGACGAGATCCGTTCGTCGCGACTGTCGCGAAGCAGCGAGGTGTTCTTGCCGGCCTGATAA